CTGGGAGGTGTGATCAGGGGAGGCATGGAGGAGTATCTCTCAGTCTGGGAGGTGTGATCAGGGGAGGCATGGAGGAGTATCTCTCAGTCTGGGAGGTGTGATCAGGGGAGGCATGGAGGCATGTCTCAGTCTGGGAGGTGTGATCAGGGGAGGCATGGAGGAGTATCTCCGTCTGGGAGGTGTGATCTTGCGGCTGTTACTTATTAATATAAGCAGATAAGGAAGCAGAGAAGTAGGAAGTGGGTGTTATTATCAAGGCCTCGCCTGTGGCCACTTCTCCCAGCTAGGCCCCATATCCTAAAGATGCATAAGCTATCCAGATAGTGCCACCTGCTGGGTACCAAGAATTCAGACACACAAACCTGTGGTGAGTATCTTACATTCGAATCACAACAAAGTCTATGCCACCAGCCCCCTTCCCAACAATGTCACCAGGTATGGTGGCACACACTTGTAATCTCAGCTCTCGGGAGCATAGAGGGATTTACTGCTCCGTGTAGTGAGGGTATGACGGCTATGCTTGGGGAGAGGTTTCTTTCAGACAGGTGGGAGAATATGGCCGGAGGCATCGGGATGGGCCCAGACTGAACTGGGCCATGGGGGGGACGGGGAGAGTGAGAGAGGAAGAGAAGACAGAGGGACACAAAGAAAGTTAGAGAGAACCAAAGTGGCTGAGTGATATGGGAAGGGAAGCTGGGGGAACTGGAGAGGTTTAGGGTAGGGGCTGGTGAGAATGCGGGGGCGGGGGGGAGGGAGTCACAGGGACTGTGCAAGACTTGTCTCAGGTGTCTTTGGGATCTGGCAGCTGCAGTCTGTCTAGCTGGACTTAGATGGAGAGTTCCAGACTAGCCAAGACTCATTAATTAGGCTTTTATTTTCCTCAAGAACAAAATATAACAGTGGTCTAGAGAAATGGATCAGTGACTAGGAGCGATTGCTGTTGTAGCACAGACCAGAGTTCAGATCCCAGCACTCACATTTGGCTGCTCACAATCACCTGTAACTCCAGCTGCAAAGGACCTGATGCTCTCCTGTGGCCTCTGTGGACACACACACACACACACACACACACACACACACACACACACACACAGAATAAACATTTTTTTTTAATAAAAGGATTAATCTAAGATGGGTGGTGGTGGTGCACATCTTTAATCCAGCACTCAGGGGTCAGAGGCAGGAGGAGGATTTCTGTGAGTTCAAGGCCAGCCTGGTCTACAGAGTGAGTTCCAAGGCAGCCAGGGACTACAATTGAGATGGCTCAGCCGGTAGAGGTGCTTGTGGCCAAGCCTGATGACCTGACTTCCTGACTTCGAAGGAAAGAATCAACATCCACAAGTTGTCCTCTGATCTCCACAGGTGTCATGACAGGTATACTTCCATACGTACACACATGTAAAAATGTTAAAGATGAATTTATAAGTGAGGCACAACAGTGCCCTAACAATAAATAGCTAGTGACAGAATAAACAGTGATAAAGTTATACAAACATGATCTCCTCTTGTAACATGAAGGGGCCTGCTTGTTGGGGTTTCTATCCCTCTCAGTACCCCACAGCTGGCAAGCCCCAAAGAAAATCACACACAGATCTCCATAAGTTATAAAACTGATTGGCCCATTAGCTTAGACTTCTTATTAGCTCTTGTAGCTTATATTACCACATTATTCTTATCTATGCTAGCCACATGGCTTGGTACCTTTCTCAGCAGGGCAGGTCACATCTTGCCTCTTCGGAGTCTGGGCAGGAGTGGGAGAAATGAACTTCCTGCTTCCCAGAATACTCCTGTTCTCTTTACTCCACCTCTACTTCCTGCCTGGCAATCAGAGTTTATTTAAAACATGATTGAGAGGATACAGACAATTCTCCTGCACCACTTCCCCCTCTTTTTTTTTAAACAAAGGAAACTATCCATAGTCCATTTTTTGGCAATATGGGCATAGTTTTTCAGGCTACTTCCTGCTGGTTGAGGGTGTTGATAATCTTATGGGGACCTAAAGAAAATTTAGAGTTATAATCAAGTCCTGACTGGAGTATCCTGTGAGTCTTGATCATCTCAGGCAGCATCTTGAATCTGTTCTGGATGTAGAATTCAGACATCCGGGCCATCTGTTCCTACCTGAGATTTCTCAGGTGGTCTTCCTTGATCAAACTTGGCTTTTCTTAACTCAAAATGAATCCACAGCCTCTAACAAAAGCAAAATCTCTTCTCCAAAGTAACATATCTTTTGACTTCAATTTTGAAGTCAAGGTATTTTCATAATACCTATCTTGGGTTAGTTCAACAGCATTTATAAGCAAATATCCTTTAGCAGTTGTTGCTCCTTCCTCAGCATTCAAACAATTCAAATAGAGCATAATAGCATACAGTATCAAGATTCTCTGTGTATTTTTCGTCTTTACATGAATTTACTTTAATCTCTATTTCTTTTATTTTTACTTTTACTTTTTAAGACAGGTTCTCTGTATATCTTTGTCCTGGAATAACTCTATAGACCAGGCTGTCCTTGAACTCACAGAGATCCACTTGCCTCTGCCTCCCAAGTGCTGGGATTAAAGGTGTGCACGACCACACCTTGAACTCACAGAGATCTGTTTGCCTCCGCCTCCCAGGCATTGAGATTAAAGGTGTGTACTACCACACCCAACTACTCTCTTTCTTTTTTCTTTTTCATTTTAAGAACTTTAATCTTTAGCCTGCATATATTTTTAACACACTGTAAACCATTTAGAGGTTTTCTTCATCTTTGAATCTCTTGTTACTGTATATCTCTTTTTTTCTGACCACATGAGTCTTTATGGAGAGGATTAAAGCCATGGCTTTGATGGCTGGATCCAGTCCATTCCTTAGCTTTCCACCCTTATGGCAGAGATACTGGCTGTAGCCTGTTTATTGCCACAACTCTATGGCGTTTTAAGGTACTTGCCAGCAAGCAAGCTGCAGCAGTGCACTCAGAAACCACACTCAAAAGCTCTGTAGTCAGGACCGTCTGCTTAAAAGAGTCAGAGTTTGCCCTGGCAGGTCGACCCAGAAAGCCGGCATTTTAAAATGGCGCAGCTTTTTCCTGCTGCAGCTGAAAACCAAAAAGCATGTGTTCAGCTTTTCATTAACACCATTTAAGTGTTTTGTGGCAGGACCCCTTAAAAGAGCTGCAGGGTTTTGCAGCTAAAAGTCAGGAAGCCTCTCTTAGATGAGAGCACTCGCTTGCCTCTAGCATGCAGAGCAGACCTGAGAAATTGCTGCTACCAAGAAAACATGTTTTACTCTATTCTTTCCCAAGCTTTCTCAGGCTTTCTGTGGATGCAGTTATCCACATGAGCATCATTCTGTAACATGAAGGGCCTGCTTGTTGGGGTTTCTGTCCCACCCAGTTCCCCACAGCCAGCCAGCTCCAAAGAAAATTACACAGAGGTCTCCATAAATTATAAAACTGATTGGTCCATTAGTTCAGGCTACTTATTAGCTCTTATAACGTATGTTAGCCCATTATTTTTAGCTATGTTAGCCACACCTTTCACAGCTGGGCATGTTAAATCTTGTTTCTCCTGGGCAGGAATGCAGGAAGAATGGACTTCCTGCTTCCCAGAATACTCCTGTTCTCTTTACCCCACCTCTACTTCCTGTCTGGTTTTCCCGCCTATACTTCCTGGCTGACCAATCAGTGTTTATTTAAAACATGATTGACAGAACACAGGCAATTCTCCCACACCATCATCTCTTTCTTTCCCCCTTACCATTTTTTGACTTTTTTCTCCCCTCTCCTTTTCCCTTCCTGTCCCCCTCTCTCCCTACCTCTCTTCCACTCTCCACTCTCTCTAAGACCTCACTCTGTATCCCAGGCTGGCCTTAAACTCCACACTCTCCCTCCCCAGACTCCTAGGTGTGCACTCCCCCAGGTGTGCACCCCCAGGTATACACTCCTCCTGGTGTACACCCCCAGATGTCCAGGTGTGCACCCCCAGGTGTGCACCCCCAGGCATACACTCCTTCTGGTGTGCACCCCCAGATGTCCAGGTGTGCATCCCCATGGGTGCGCCCCCAGGTGTGTACTCCCCTAGGTGTGCACCCCATGTGTGAACCCTCCAGGTGTGCACCCCCAGGTGTGCACTCCTCCAGGTGTGAACCCCCAGGTGTGCACTCCTCCAGGTGTGCATCCCCAGGTGTGCACTCCTCCAGGTGTGAACCCCCAGGTGTGCACTCCTCCAGGTGTGCATCCCCAGATGTGCACTCCCCCAGGTGTGAACCCCCCAGGTGTGCATCCCATGTATGAACCCCCAGGTGTCCACTCTCCAGGTGTGCACCCCCAGGTGTACACTCCCCCAGGTGTGCACCACCATGCTTAGCTTTCAACTATGTCATCACATTGTTCTTGTCTATTTGGGATATCAAGAGATGACAGGATGCATATGAGGTCACAGGATCTCTTGGCACAGGAGCCGAGACAGAGCATGGGGATGCTATTTGAAAATAAGCACCCAGTGCCTAGATGCTTAGCCTGAAACTGAGATAGTTAAGTCATGGCCGGGTAGGTACAGCATGGGCACGCTAAAGAGAGGGGTACTCCCAACCTGGGATGGAGTGGAACAGCATAAAATATAATCATGTGGGAAGAATGCCAAATGATTGGGAATTTGGGTGTTAGAGATATGGCTCCATGGTTAAGGGCACTGACTGGTTGATCTTGCAGAAGACCCAGGTTCAGTTCTCAGCATCTACATGGAGGTTCACAACCATCTGTAATTCCAGCTCTAGGGGATCCAACAACTTCTGGCTTCCACGGCACCATACGCACATAGTGCTCATGCACACATGTAGGCAAGCATTCATACGAGTACAAATAAAATAAAATAAAAATTTAAATCTTAGGATTCCTTTTTTTAACTTTCTTTTTTTTCTTTTACATTTTAATGAATTTATTTTGTGTGTATATGTGGGTGTGGTTGCTGTGGCAGGCATGTGGACTCAGAGTAGGGTATGCAAGAGTCCATTTGCTGTTTCAACCATGCAAGTCCCAGGGATCAAAGATAGGTGGTCAAGCTTGGTGAACAGCCTAGAGTCTGGAATTTTCTACTTGACATTGTTTTAGGCCATGGTTGCTTATGACTGACTGAAGTTGCAGGATGCAGGATTGTGATGGGAAGACCAGAGGTTGACACCTGTGCAGTGTGCAGGGTAGACAGAGCCAGGGCCAAGGGCACAGATATGCAGGACTTAGGATTGGTGGAGGAGCAAGAAGGAAGGAACTTGGAACCCCCAGTGGACTACCACGGGAGTTGTGGCCAATGAGAGGAAATCAGGTCACAACACTGGAATGGATAATTGATTCCACCTTGGAGGCCGCAGAGATGGCTCAGTGGTTAAGAACATTTGCTGCCCTTGCAGAGGATCTGAGTTTGGTTCTCTGACTCTGCCCTCTCCTGGCCCAACACTCACACTGACACACAGACACAGACAGACACACAGACAGACAGACACACACACAGACAGACAGACAGACAGACACACACACATGTGCGCGCGGACACACACACACACACACACACACTCACACACACTCACATACACACACATGCAGTCTAACGCAAATAACTGTTTTGTAGACAACTTCGGGAGAATAAAATTGGTGAACTAAAGCCACGTGATGAATGTCTGGGCAGTTCAGGACAGAGGGGCTTAACTTCTGCCCTTCTGAACAGCTCCCAGCCCTGGGGCTACCCAACAAAGACTGTCTTCCTTCGGAAAAGGGTTCCCAGGGCGCCTTTCATGTCCCTGTTTCTCAGGGTATAGATGAAGGGGTTCAGCATGGGGGTGACCACAGTGTACATCACTGCAGCTGCTGTGTCCTTCTGGGCTGTGTGGGAGGATGTGGGGCTGAAGTACACCCCAATAAGTGTCCCGTAGAACAGGGATACCACAGAGAGATGGGAGCCGCAGGTGGAGAACGCCTTCCGCTTCCCTCCCGCAGATGGGATCTTCAGCACTGTTGCGAAGATGCGTGTGTAGGAGATCAAGATGCCCACGAAGGGGGTGATGATGGGCAGTGCGCCCACGGTGTACACCATGATGTGGTTGAGAGACGTATTTGAACAGGCCAGCTTCAGCAGTGGGCTGAGGTCACAGAAGAAGTGGGGGATCTGGTTGTGGGTACAGAATGAGAGGCGAGTCAGCAGGACTGTGTGGGTCAGGGCATTTGCAAAGGCTGAGGTCCAGGAGGCAATAACCAGAAGGCCACAGAGGCGGGGTGTGATGGACGTAGTATAGTGTAGAGGGTGACAGATGGCCACGTAGCGGTCGTAGGCCATGGCAGTCAGCAGGAAGCTGTCGATGCCGGCAAACCAGATGAAGAAAAACATCTGTGTGAGACAACCAGAGTAGGAGATGCTTTTGTGTCCCGACACGTGGTTGGCCAGCATCTTGGGGATGGTGGTTGAGGTGAAACAGATGTCTACAAAGGCCAGGTTGGCCAGGAAGAAGTACATGGGGGTGTGGAGCCTGGGGTCAGTGGCAATGGCCAGGATGATGAGCAGGTTCCCCAGGCCTGTGAGTAGGTACATGCTCAGGAAGACGGAAAAGAGCAGCTCCTGCTGCCTGGGATCCTGTGACAGGCCCAGCAGCAGGAACTCAGAGACCCCGCTGAGGTTGGCACCTTCCATGGCAGGCCTAGAATAAGTAAGAAACTGGGTCTGAGCACGGTGCTGACCGAGGTTCGTCCTTCTGTCCGTCGTGCCCCCCTCCCACCCCTCCCCCCC